GGGAAAGAGCAAGAAAGGTGGTCAGTGCAGTGGTTAGAGCGGCACCAAAGGGCACCTAACGTGGAGCTCGGCAAACCGTCCCAGAAGGAGGGGCCCCTGGGCTGGCCTTATTGAAAGCAGAGAGGTGCCAAGGTGGAGGTAGGCAGGCATCCCAGGCCAATGAGCATGAGATAACCTGAGGCTCTAGCCTTGGAGGAGTGGGAGTGGTCAGCCCTACCTGAGTATGTGAGCTTGGGCATCTTGGGGGTCACCCGGCAACCACCAGCTGTGAACTGCAGATAGGTAAGGACCAGTGTTTACTCTCATTTTTCCTAACATTTCATGTCAGATTGGCCTCCAACCTTTTAGTGTTGTGGGCTGGTGTATCCAGCAGTTAAGACTTGTGTGAGATTAAGGAAGGTTCATTACTGCTTTGTGTAGAGAGGAGTTTTAATAGGGTTGTCATGAGCCCTATAACGCATGGCCGACCTGCTTTCTCTCCTTCGAGTAATTGGGTGACTCAGCACGTCCTGTCCCCAGGATGCTGGGCATGAGCGGAGGCACCCAGCCCTTGCTGGGGGGCTCCAGCGCTGCAGCAGCCCCCTGTGGCCTGACCAGAGCCTGTCCGGTTGTTGCAGTGCAGGCCACGTGGATGGCCTACGACATGGTGGTGATGCGCACCAACCCCACACTGGCGGAGTCCATGCGGCGGCTGGAGGACGCCTTCCTCAACTGCAAGGAGGAGGTGGAGAAGCACTGGCAGGAGCTGCTCGATGAGACCAGGCGAGCGCAGGAGGCCCGCCCGCCCCACGCGGCCCGAGCAGGCTTGGCAGAGTAGCAGCGGCCCCGGAGCAGGGCTGTGCACAGAGCTTGTTTCTCAGTAAACTTCTTTCCAAGCACAACCTAAGGACCCTTTCTGTCCCACCCAGCTGCATATCAAACCTTGTGGACAGCACGTGAGGAGGGCGAGATGCAGAGGCTCTCGATGATGTAGGCGCACTCAGGGCCAGCGGCGCCGAACTTCGAATAAAAAACAAAAAGGGAGCCAGACGGGGACACACCAGGCCAGAGGGTGGGACGGGCAGCAGTATTCAGTCAGATTTATTTACCTTCCTACAGTGAGTTCCAAAGCGAATAAGGGGGAACATTAGTTATTCAGTTGTGTATTTGGGGCACCAGGCTGGGCACTCTCGGGTGTGTCCTTATGTTCTCACAGCCCCGTTTCAGACAAGAAAAGCAATGTTAGATGTCTCTTCCAATCCACACAGCTAATAAGGGGCAGAACGAGGGCGAAACCCAGGCCTCACCTAGGAAGGGGGCTGGCGGGAAGTGGGGTGGGCTTCTCGAGGGGCTGAGCTGGCAGGACAGACCCCACCAGGCTGCAGAGGGGTATGAGCTGAGTGGTCCTGCACAGCCTGGGCTGGGGTCTGGGCAGGGGCTAGAGCCAGCAGGGCGCTTTCACAGACAAGGGTTCTAGGCCCTTGAGGTCAGTCAGACAAAAGAGGGCTTCAGAGCTGTTCCAGGGGAGAGCCAGCCAGGCTCCCAGAGGCCTCAGGACAGGTAGAAAGTCCCAGAGGCAAGGATGTTTTCCTGGGGACTTGTTTGCTCCCTGGTCCCCCTTCCCACCCACTTGAGGGCTCCTTGCCTGGCCTGGAGCCCCAGGGACAGACCCTAGGAAGCAGAATGTGTTCCCAGCCATCTCCTTCCTCGGCTCAGGGGTTGCCAGGCTCCTCAGTGGGCCAAGTCTTGGTGCCCAGGCACACGTCAGGCTCTCGGAGCCCAGGGAGTCCCACGGGCAGGTAATTCCCAGGCAGTGGGGCGGTGCTGTGGGAGAGGATCTCTGTCTGGAGGAGGGCGGGTGAGCCAGCAGAGGCCCTGGGTAACCAGAGAGGGAATTAAGTCCTAGAGGAAGGAAGCGGCTTGGGTGTGGTGGGAGGTAGGGTACCAGACTAGGGACACCCAGCGACCAGCTCCCAGGTGCGGGGAGCCTGGGCTCTGAGGGGAGGGGCTTAGGGGAGGGGAGCGGGTGGAAGGCGGAGTCAGGAGGCTTATTAGAACAGAAAAGGAAAGTTGTCCCGGGAACAACGGCAGAAAGTTCTGGATCACAGCCTTCTTCCTGTGCCCCTCCTGCCCTCAGACTCCGCCCCAGGGTCTCCCCGGAGAGCAGTGCTGAAGTCCCTGGTGTTCCAGCAGCCACTCAGAGGGCAGTCTGCAGCGGGTCCACGGGGGGCAGCGTCAGGATGAATGGGCAGAGGACCCCTTTGGCCCCCGGGGGAAAAGGCTGTAGCTCCTTGGCCTGGAACTGGGCGGTTCCCTCGGAGACCGTGAAGGTGGCTGTGACCTGGTGGTTGAGGCAGTAAATGGTGTTGCCCAGCACGGCGCAGCGGAGCGGGGCGGGGTCGGGCAGGGGCAGGGAGGCGGCCCGGCTCCAGGAGCTCGTCACGGTGTTGTAGCGCATCACCGCGGCGCCCACGCCCCGCAGCAGGTCGAAGCGGTACAGGAAGCCCCCCAGAGCCACAATGTCGCTGGAGCGCCGGTGGCTGGCACTGTAGGGGCGCTCGTCCCACGCGTCCTTCGCGGGGCTGTACCTGAGCAGGCGGTAGAACAGGTGGCCGCCGGTAACGTAAATGTCCCCCCGGCAGGCCACAGCTTCGTGAGCCACGGGGAAGCTGCCTGCAGGGAGGGGCGCGCAGGGGGCCCAGGCGTCCGCGCGCGGGTCGTAGCGCTCCATGCTGTACAGACACTCGCCCCCGATGGCGTAGAGCAGCCCGTCCAGCGCCACCAGTTTGAGCTGGGCACGCGCCTGCCGCATGGGCCGCACCTGGCTCCAGGTGTCGGTCAGAGGGTTGTAGCAGAAGACCTCGTTGGAGCAGACGGCCTCGGCGCCGGATCCGCGGATGCCCCCCGCCAGGAACAGATAGTTGTGTAGGGTGCAGAGGCCGCAGCCCCGGAGCGGGGCCTCCTGGGGCACCTGGGTCAGGGGCCGCCACGCGTTCTCCCGGGGGTGGAACACGTACAGGAACGTGCGGGGAGGCGGGGGCGCGGGCCGCACCGTGCAAGTTTCTTCCACCCCACGAGGGTCCCTTGTGAGCCCCGAGCGGCTCACCCGGTAGAGGCTGGGCAGCACGAGGACCCCCAGCACCGCCTGGCCCCGGCTGGTCCGAAGGCTCAGGATACGCTCCCGGTCAGCGCCACTCAGCTGCCGGTAGAGGCTCGGGTCTCCCAGCACGTGCAGCAGATTGTCACTCATCCAGGCATAGGTCTCCTGGGCCAGGCGGGGGTCTCCGTGCTGCTGGGCAAAGGCCAGTGCCTCCAGGCAGCTGCCCAGGTCCAGCCATCGCTGCAGAGCCGCTGCCGCCGAGGATCTGGGCTTCTGGGCCCCCTCCACCCCCCCCCAGCCCCCCCCATGCGCGAAAGACAACACAACATGGCGTAAACAGAGGAGACTTCCCGCCTCTGCAGAAACACCATGAGTTTTCGGGCCTCTTTCTGCTTCTCAGTGAGGACCTGCCCGCTGCCTGCAGGGCTGGGCCCCTCCCCGGGCTCCTGTCCTCGGCGCTGCCCTGGGGCCGCTGGGCTGGCCTCACGCTCAGAGCTCTGGGATATTTCGCACAAGCTGCGTTTCCGTGGCCGGGGGACAGGCTGTGAGTCCTGCCTTGTAACTGGGGAGGGTGCAGAGCCAGGCTGGGTCTGCTCCGGTGGCCATGAGGGGGCCCTGGGTTCTGCAGCTCCAGATGGCAGCGAGTCTGGATGTTTGTCCTCAATTCTCTCCCCTCTTGGGCCTGAGGGAGGGCCTGCGGTGGGAGCCTCGTTGGTCTCGGTGCTGCTCTGCTGTGGCCGAGCTCCAGCCTCAGCCAGGCCCCCTGTGCCTGCCCCTGTGACCAGTCCAGCCGAGCCATGCCTGTCCTCACGGCTGGGGACGGCCTCTTCAGGGGAAGAGCCAGACTCTCTGTTCTCAGAGGGTGTGGAAGTGCTGGGATCTCTGGGGCTCTCCAGAGCTGCCCTTGGGACAGTCCCTTGGGGCCTCTCTGGCCTGGGGAAGGGGTGACTCCTAAGAACCATCGAAATAAGGTTTCCCCAGCTAGTTGAGAACTGCCCCTCCTGACTGCCCTTGCAGAGAACCACACTGGGCTTCTGAGGTGCAAGCCTTGACCCACTAGCAGGCCCAGGGGCTACAGCTGTGACAGGGGATGGGCCTGGGGCAGGGGCTGCAGCTGTGACAGGGGATGGGCCTGGGGCAGGGGCTGCAGCTGTGACAGGGGATGGGCCTGGGGCAGGGGATGGGCCTGGGGCAGGGGCTGCAGCTGTGACAGGGGATGGGCCTGGGGCAGGGGCTGCAGCTGTGACAGGAGATGGGCCTGGGGCAAGGGCTGCAGCTGTGACAGGGGCTGGGCCTGGGGCAGGGGATGGCACTGCTTTGAGATTTTCATCCTCAGCAGGACCCTGGCCAACTCTGGGGGGCAAAGAGACTGACAGAGAGGAGTTCAGAAGAGTTGGGGCTACAGGTAAGAGACCTGGATGAGGATGTGCTGTGGGTGGGAGGGGTGTAGGGGTGTGTGAAGGGGACGTGAGAGAGGGGCTCAGGGAGGGCACGAGGCTGCGAACCTCTGCGGCTCGCTTCCCTCTGTCAGAGCCACCAGCCACCTGGCCTTGCAGGGATCCTCTCCCTTCTCTAACACTGTGGCCCCCTTGCTCCTGTGTCCCTTCAGGCCCTGAACTGAAGAATGGGTGGTCTCCAGAGCCGTTAGCCCCAGCCTCACCCGCAGTGCTGGCCTCTGTGGTCCCCTCCCCTTGGGACAAGAGTCGGTGTCCCCCCTGTGGCCCCTCTTGTGATAGGCTCATGGAGCCTGGGGCCTGGCTGAAGCTCCCAGTGACAAGGACCTCCCTCCTCACCTGGGGCCAGCCTTCCATGGAGGCTGGGGACCTCTGAGACTCCCTGGGGGCCTGGGTCCCAGCCTCCCTGCTCTCAGTAGCTTTGGCTCCTGAGTCCAGAGCTAGGACTGGGGCTGGTTGGGGGCTGCTCTTCCCAGGCCCCCTCTCTGAGACATCAATCGGGGGACTAGTCTTCAGGGTGTACGATGAGGGCAGCTCCTGGGGCAAAGGGAGTCCCTGGGAGCCTGCGGGGAGGCTGCTGGCTGCACCCACAGAATCCCACACACTCACCACAGTGCCCAGGGACAGGGGGTCCAGCCTTGGGGAGCAGCAGGTTCTCTCTCCTGAGCTGCGGTCCACCTGCCACCGGCGGCTGCCTGGGCCCCTCCCCAGTGAGCCAGGTGACGCCGCACCTTGCTGCCAGCGGCTGGTGTCCTGTTCCACCATGTGGACGAGGGCCTGGTGAGCTGGTGCCTTGGCGCGGATGCCTACTGCTTCTGCCTGCACCTCCGCTTCTCCGCCAGGACTCCGGGGGGTGAAGTGTATCAGGAGGGGGGCAGATGTCCCCTCTGCTTTGCTCTGACCCAGGAGAGCAGCACCTGGCCCGCGAGGCTCCCTTCCTTTTCCTCGGGGGGCTTCTGGAGTGGCATTACCACGCTGCTGTCCCCAGGCCCCTCCGCTGGCCACCTCACCAGGTGTCTTGAGTGGAGGTGTAGCTGTAGCAGCCAGACCTTCACCTCGCGGGGGCTCCCGATCCTGGGCCCCTGCTGCAGCTGGACTCCCCTGGCCACGTCCTGGAGGGCGTGGCTTCTCCTGCCCTGGGCTGTGTCCCTCGACACCACCACTGACCTTGGATTTCGGGGGCAGGGCTGGCCCAGGTCCTCCCACCTGTGAAGGTCGAGGGGCTGTGGATGCTGGACCTGCCGCCTCCTGGTCCTGCCCAGAGCCAAACCAGTGCAAAGCTAGCGCCGTGGCGGCCACCACAGCCAGCGCCAGCAGGGTCAGCACGACGCCATCCCAGTCTTCGTCCCCATCCCCGTCCCAGCCCCAGCCGGGGCTGTCAGCCTCCAAGACGCCCTGGGTCATGGTCTGGGCGGAGACCCAGCGTGAGGAGCTGGGCAGCAGGCTGGGAGCTATGTGCTGCGCACACCAGGTCCTGCTTCAGGCCTGGGTGCCACCTGGTGTCGCGCAGATGGCATCCGTGACGTGCCCCGCCCAGAGGGCTGCCCAGTTAAGGTGGCCCTGTGCCGGGGCCAGTGCGCCGCCCAACCTGGGAGGGGTGGGTCTCTGTGTCTGCACCCGGGCTTGGGTGTTGTTAGGAGGGCCTGGCTGGAGGTATCAGGAGACAGCATAACCCACGGCAACTCCAGGAGCTCAGGGGCCTCCGCAGGCCCCTGCCCAGCTCCTGCCCCTTCCCTTTTTCCATAGGTTCCAATGGCAAATGGCAGCGTTCCTCAGCACTATTCTGGCATCCCAGCCGACCCACTTCTGCCTAAGAGACCCTCACACCCCCAAACTCATCCCACACCCCCGCATCCCTCCTCTGAGCTCGGGGCCAGCCTCAGGGGGCTCTGGCGGGGAAGAGTTACCCACAGGAAGATGTTATCTGTAGCTGCAGCAACACGATGAGGCCCTGATGAAATTACCAGAAACCAGAGAAGACTATTCCACTCTTGGCCAGGGTGGGGGGGGGGTCTCCCTGAGGAGGGGGACCATGGGGGCGGGGGTCCTGACCCTAAACACTGCCCAGCACACAGATGGGCGGCCGGGAAGGTGCACAGGTGTGAAGCAGAGGCTGGCGCTTCTCCCTCCCAGACACACAGGTGCCTGGGGGGGCCGAGGCCGACTCTCCCTTCCCCTCCTCCAGCAGCCTCTGGACTCTCCGTACCCTGAGTTCAGCAGAGATGGGATGGTTGTCAAAAGGAATTTTTAAGCTATCACTAGTAAAGAGTGAACAAAGTAAAGAAAATCCAAAAGTTGTGTTTTCCTCTTTATTGGCCTGGTTTATCACAATCTTCTAGAGCCCTTGGGCCTCCCTCTGGGCCATCCTGACTGCCGAACGCCACTCTTACGCAGTGGAGAACCCTGAGCCCCCGCCAGCTCCATCTCCCGTCACCACTCAGCCCTGGGAGACTTCACAAACCCTCCTCTGGCCCCGGGGCTCTATCAGTCTGACTTCTGGTGCCTCATCTTAGGCCTCAGCCTTCCCTCGTCCACCCCCTCCCTCCTCGCCAGGACTCAGGCCCCTCACAGGCCAGCGTGTAGGTGCCCTGCAGCACTCGGCTTCTCAGGGGACAAGCCTTGTCTCCTCCATCTGCTTCTCACTTAAGCCGAGGAGTAAGTGTCAGGACAGGTGCCATGTGGGACCGAGACATGAAAAAGAGCCTGGAGCTCCTGGGACAAAGGCAGGGCCCCCACGACATGTACTTGTTCCTTCTTCAGGGACAGAGGACTCTCCCTGACTCAGGCAGCGAGATGGCCAAGGCATGTCCCTGGCACCCGGCCTGGGTTCTGCTGAGCCTCAGGTATCTCACCCACCTGTCCCCTCCCAGCCTCCCCCCTCCCTGAGCGTATTAAGTGACAGTAAGAGGAAGGATGGAAGGGGGCCCTGTCTTAAGGTGGACCTCAAGCTGGTGGCAGCCTTTCTGGATGCCGCCCTTATTCTCTGCCCTGGTCCCAGGCTCTGCCTCTTGGTTAAGTTTGGGGTCCAACAACCTTGAGACGATGGAGATGACACCATCGTCTGCACCTCTGTATCGGCCATGTGGTGTCCACCACTCATCTCCACCCAGCACCTGAAGACCCCTGTTGTCGGTCTGAGCACCAGGCTGCGGCCAGAGAACACGTGTCCACTAGGGGTACCTTAGGACACCAACTTCACAAGGTGCTGAGGACCATGACAGGTCCTAGAGACACAGGGGACCAAGGAAGGGTCTAGTCCCCTCCTCTGTGGAAAGGAAACACCTGACTTTGTCAAAACCCTTGACTTTGTCAAGGGCAAACCCTGCCCTTCGTGGAGCAGCTCCCTACTGGGAAGGTGACCGGAGACATGTTACCACCCAAAATAGTGGGAGTTTTGCCCTCTTTCCATAGAGAGTAAAAATGTGGCACTGCTGCAAAGGTGACAGAACTTCAGAAGCACACAGGATCACCCACAGAAATTGTGAAACATGAGTAATGGTTCTGGTTGTGCAATGATGGCATAAATAGCACAGATTCCCATTGAGGTAAAAATAAAGATCAAAAATATGGGTCCCAGGAAAGTCTGACCTGTAGCAGCCTCCTCAGAGCTCCATTTCCAGTTGCCTGCTGAGGCAGGACCCCTGTCCCAGTCCCTCCAAGGAATAGAGGGACTTGGGCCTATGGACCCAGAGATCCTGTTTCCTCAGAGACAACACAAGCAAAACAGGAATGGAGGCAGTCACCTGCTTGCCAGCAACCATGACCAATGCAGCTGGGGGCCCGGGAGGTGGGGAAATCCATCCACATGAGCTGATCCACTGCAGCACCCACAGGAAGACCCCCACTAACTGGTCACCAAGCCCCAACTACGCTAGCTCCCATGGTGCCTTTCTGAAACACTTGGTGGAGGAAAAGCCTAGTGTGATGAAGACATGATTCCACATGGAGAGCTAAATACAAATGGACAGCTAATATAAATAAGATGGTAGAGGGGCTTCCCTGGTGGCACAGTGGTTGGGAGTCTGCCTGCCGATGCAGGGGATGCGGGTTCGTGCCCCAGTCTGGGACGATCCCACATGCCGCGGAGCGGCTGGGCCCATGAGCCATGGCCGCTGAGCCTGCGTGTCCGGAGCCTGTGCCCCGCAGCGGGAGAGGCCACAGCAGTGAGAGGCCCGCGCACTGCAAAAATAAAAAAAAAAAAGATGGTAGAGAGCTGCAAACTCCACTAAATGTAGGGTTTTTCTATTATTGGAATTTTTTAAAGGCAAGAAAGATTGCATAATCAAAAATGATATAAAACAAAGAATACTATATAATCATGTTTATGTTAAAAGTATATATGTACTTTTATATATGTATAAATAAATCTAGAATAATGTTTAAGCCTTAGAAAATATAAATCTCACATTTAATAGTTATATAGTTATACCCAACAGGGGATACCTTTTAAGGAATCCATCTGAGGTGGGGAAAGGTTTATGCAGAAAAAAGTTATTTAAAAAAGACAA